AAAAAAAAAAAAAAAAAAGATATTGGTCTCATTTATCCAGACCTACACCTACTCAACCAAACTGTACACCCTTTTTACTTTTACAAAAGCTCCTATAGCGCTTCTACTGTAGTCAGGCACTCATTTGCTAAATAAATGAGTCAATAATGAAGTTATTCTTTTGTAAAATGTAGATACCAGCCATTTAATTTCTACTTTGCTTAGGCAAACAATATTAGTGGTCTCCTAAAGAGGAACTATTGAGGGAAGGAGTCCAGTCATGTTATAGCAAGAAATCTCAGCAAGACACAACCTAGCTTTTCTGGTGGGCAATGCAGTAAGGCATCCCTACAGCCTGAAAACTGTACATATTCTTTAACTCAGTAATTCCTTATTAAGGAATTTATCCTAAGAAAATAATAGAAACAAATCCACAAAGACATAAGTACAAAGATGTTTATCCTACTTCTTAAAAGCAGAAAAGTGGAAGCAATCCAAAAATTCTAAACTCCAATAACTACAACACCAAGAAGTTGATTTTTTAAAGTCATGAACAAAATCTATTACATGAAAAGGCTCACAAAGGAAAAGCAAATATATTTACTGAGTTTTTAAACAAAATTAAATTTACACACACATACATTTACTTACATAGAACTAATATTCAACCAGTACATTCTAATTCAGCCAATCTGCTAATTAAGTCCACTGTCTGGTTAGTGCCCTGTGTCCTACCAATCTCTAAACATTTTTACTATCTGCCTGTTACTAACATACAAAGAAAAAGAGTAAAGGAATATATAACAAAGATGAAAAGTAGTTACTTACTGGTGAGGGGTTCACAGTGGTTTTCATTTTTTTCAAACCACTTATCAGTATGTCCTAAAATATTTATATGCTACATTTACGATTAAGTTATTGGTAGAAGCTTAGAAAGATCCTAAAATTCCATCCAGCCCAACTACAAATCATTATAGTATTAGTGAAATTTTTAAGAAAAGGGAAATTGAAGTAATTAAGACCAAAATTTATTTTCACTGTGGAATCTTTCATTCCAACTTCACCTAAAATCAGTCAGAACTTAGTATTTTTCTACATGAATCCATAACAACTAAAGAGTACTAAGTTGTATCAAAATTAATTCTCCATTAAAAAAAGAACTGACTTTAACCATGAAGTTTCATTTAAAATAGGCAAAAAAAAAAAAAAAAAAGAATAAAACCAGTGTAAGCAGCATGAATTTAAAGGTCACAAAACTACAAATCCTCACCCAAATACATATTCACTAACTTATCTCTGTAATATTCTCTTTACAATTATTATTTTTCAATATTTACTATTTAAATAGTCACTTACTGATATGGTTTGACTCCGTGTCCCCACCCAAATCTCATCTCAAATTGTAATCCCCATATGTTGAGGGAGGGGAATTGACTGGATTATGAGAACGGTTTCTTCCATGCTGTTCTCATGATAGGGAGTGAATTCTCACAAGATCTGATGGTTTTACAAATGGTAGTTTTTCCTACACTCACCCACGTGGTCTTGTGCTCTCTCTCTCTGCGCTCCCCATCCCCCTCCTCACCTGCCTGCTGCCATGTAAGACGTGCCTGCTTCCCCTTCTGCTATGTTTGTAAGTTTCCTGAGGCCTCCTCAGCATTCAGAACTGTGAGTCATTTGAATGAAACTCTTTCCTTTATAAATTACCCAGTCTTGGGAGGTTCTTTGTAGCAGTGTGAAAACAGACTAATACACTTACCTATGCTGTCTTCTTATCTCTGCACATTCTACTGCCATCCCAAATATAACAGCACTTGCTGGTATAACTTTCCCATACTTTTCACAATTACAACTTTCACCTTTGGTCTAAAAAAAAAATAACAATAAAAATTACGTAATCACATGTATTAAAAATTTGTGTGCATAATAAGCTACGAAAATATAAAAAACCTAAAAAGACAATAAGTAAGGATAAAGTAAGTTAAAAATTTTTTTTCTTCCTTAAAAAATATTTTTGGGTTGGGCACGGTGGCTCACACCTGTAATCCCAGCACTTTGGGAGGCCAAGGCAGGCGGATCACGAGGTCAGGAGATCGAGACCATCCTGACTAACACGGTGAAACCCCATCTCTACTAAAAACACAAAAAATTAGCTGGGCGTGGTGGCACGCACCTGTAGTCCCAGCTACTTGGGAGGCGGAGGCAGGAGAATCGCTTGAACCTGGGAGGCAGAGGCTGCAGTGAGCTGAGATCACACCATTGCACTCCAGCCTGGGCAACACTGAGAGACTCCGTTCAAAAAAATTTTTTTTAAAGTATTTTTGGCCGGGCCTGGTAGCTCACACCTGCAATTCCAGCACTTTGGAAGGCCAAGGAGAGAGGACCACTTGAGGCCAGGAGTTTGAGACCAGCCTAAGCAACATAGCAAGACCCTGTCTCTACAGAAATTTTTTTTTTGTTGTTAGCCAAGTGTGGTGACATTGGGAGGCTGAGATGGGAGGGCCACTTGAGCCCAGGAGTTCCAGGTTGCAGTCAGCTAAAAAACGTGCCACTGAGCTCCTACCTGGGCAAGAGATTGAGACCCCATCTCAAAAAAACAGAGTAAGTATTTTCATTGCTATATATGTGTGTGTGTATATATATATTTTTTCTCACAATACAAATGCAAAGGACACAAGAGGGAGGATGGGAGGGGTAAAGACTGTAAGTCTGCATAGAAGAAAAGACTTGGGTATGACTTTGATCAATAAATCAATATCATTACCTACTTAAAAAATAAATTTCTTGGCCAGGAGCAGTGGCTCACACCTGCAATCTCAGCACTTTGGGAGACCAAGGCAGGTGGATCACTTGAGGCCAGGAGTTTAAGACCAGCCAAGCCAACATGGTGAAACCCTGTCATTACTTCAAAAAAAAAATTGCTCTTTTCAACCTTTAGCAATTTTAAATCCAAATCATTTTCTGTTAATATTGAATTTTTATTACATATTAAAATCCTTTCACTGATAACACATATCATACGAACCAAATCAATGATTTGTGGGCTACAATAGAGGATTTCAATGCAAAATATAATTTGGCAATTATAAGAGTTAGTCCTGTTCAATCCATAGCCTGGGTTCAAAAGGCACCTGAAAACAGTACCAAACCAGCTATTACTACACTCCCTTCTGATAATTTGCCAAAATTCTAGGCAGTGAGGTCTGTAAGACTTAAAGTATCTCCGTTTTTCAACCCTACTCAAGAATTCCATAGTCAGTCCCTCCGTAAAGTAATCTCAATTCCTAAGAATTCTTCCCTGGAGTATTTTTGCCTGTATATTTCATTCAGGCACATAATTATATATTGAATCATGTTGCTAGTAAATGTTTTTGTTTTGTTTTGTTTGAAACGGAGTTTCGCTCTTGTTGCCCAGGGTGGAGTGCAATGGCACAATCTCGACTCAATGCAACCTCCGCCTCCTGGGTTCAAGCGATTCTCCTGCCTCAGCCTCCCAAGTAGCTGGGATTACAGGCATGTGCCACCACACCCGGCTAATTTTGTATTTTGTATTTTTAGTAGAGATGAGGTTTCTCCATGTTGGTAAGGCTGGTCTCGAACTCCTGACCTCAGGTGATCCACCCACCTTGGCCTCCCAAAGTGCTAGGATTACAGGCGTGAGCCACCAGGCCCAGCCAGTAAATGTTTTTTGCATAGATTTCTTTCCAACCACACGGTATGTACACCTTGGCAAAGGAAAATATATTTCATATTGCTTTGTAAATATACTAAGGATTCAATAAATCTCTGATGAAATAATGAATTCTTAATCAGTTTTAAGTATTTTCATACTGCTTACCTTTGGCTGTAAAAGTAAATGCTCCCATGCATGAATCAAACTCTCCACAATTCCTTCTCCAAATAAACCTGCATCGACAGTTTCTGTTACAACTAGGGACACTCTATAGAATGATTTTTTAAAGATATATGTAAGTAAAATATCATGCTATTATATAAAGATGTCAAAGCTGAGAGGAGAAAGGAAGAGTATATTATAGAAACAATTCATATGTAAAATGTCCTAATACTTTTAAGATCTACTACTGAATCTTGAGGAACTTTACTCGAATGCTACTTAAGCTCCTTTGTTCTCCACTGGCTCTTTCTCCTTGGTTTGGAAGATGGAGGGCGGGGGGAGGTGGGGAATGACAACCTTCGCTTGGCCTTGTTCCCTCTCCAGGTTATTTTTTCATTGCCTACATCTCTAAGAGTGGTTCATACCCTTTACCTTTACCAGTCTCTTCCTTAATGCCAAGTAAGAAGACTTCCATCTCCAACAGTCTATAAAAATATTATCTACCATCAATAACTCCCTACTTACCAAAATGAATCCTCTTTCTCAGTTATCATTTTTTTGATCTCCAGATAACACTGATTGCAGGAGAGAGCCCTCCCTCTTAAAATCTATCTCTACCTTTTATGACACTGCATCACCCATGTTTGCCTCCTACATGTTGACTGTGCCTCTCTTATCACTTCTTTTGCTTTACCCACTGCCTGAGTCTTAGAAAAAGCCTAGTCCACAGAACTCTGCTCTTCTGTCCATGCTTTCTTTCTAGAAAATTTTACTCAAAGACATACGAAAATATTTTCTCCCTTCTCTGAACTCCTTCAGCATTTATTGCCAGTATCACACATTTATGTAGCTATAAGATAAGAAAAGTTTCATGAATATTCTTTACCTTTCTATCTAGACTGTAAGTGCCTCAAGGGTAAGAATGACTTTGGTATGTTCCACAGTGCCTAGACCCAACATCTTATATACAGAAAATACCCAGTATTTATGATTGCATACACTTAGAATGTGAAAGGTGTTTCAAATCATCTAGTCCAATACCTTGAGGTCTAGACATTTGCTTAAGGTCAAAATAAATTAATAATAGTCTAATCTGGAATCCACAGCTCCTGGTTCAAAACCAACAGATCTTTCTACAACATTATCTGTGAGAAAAATAATTAAATTAAGGTAACTTTGATTCATGCCGACTCAGGTCCCTCTCAAAATTCATGTTGAAGCCCTTAACCCCAAAACTGACTGTATTGAAGAAGGAAAGGCTGTGTAAAGACACAACAAGAAAGCAGCATCTGCAGTCCAGGAAGAGAACCCTCACAAGAAACCAAACTAGCCAGCACCTTGATCATGATCTTCCAGTCTCCAGAACTGTGAGAAAATAAATGCCTATTGTTAAAGCTACCCAGTCTGCGGTACTTCGTTATGGCAGCCCAAGTGGAACAAGACAATTCAGGAAAATGCTTTTTCCTATAAAATGGGTATGACATTTGCCTTAATCGAACAGGAATTTTTTCATGAGAATAAATGTAGAGACCATTCAAAACTGTAGGTACTATGTTAACATAAATACTATTATATATACATGGAAGAAGACTTTTTAAAGTCATAGTTCATATAAGGCACAAAAATATCTTCTTCCAATACAAACTGAATTGAAGTAAGATTGGAAGATAAACCCAGAAGAGATAGGCAAAGTAAGTGCTACATAAAGAAAACTTTGTCTCTAAAGTGACTAGTGTGGAACCAGATCATTTTCAAATTCCTTCTAGCTCTAAAATTCCATCACCCTTGTGATATAGATCACAGTGAGAAAACATACTAAAAAGCCAAGACTTATATTACTTATATTCAAATCATTTAAAGGACCCATGCCAAAATACACTGACAGCTGACATTTCCAAAGCTTTCATTTTAAACAAATATATTAACACAAAATGTGATAAGTCCATTGAATCTGAACTGCTTATGATTTCTTTTTAAATACAACTTTTAAGTAGTTATTGACCACACAGGATTATCCATTTTTACAAATGAGAACACTGAAATTAACAAAGGTAAAGTAACTTGCTAAGATCAAGTTTATTTCATCCCTTGCCACAAATTTTTCACAAGATCTTTAAACATTTTTAATAAAGAATATAATTTTATTTAAATATGTCTTAATAGTAAACTATTCTATCCTATATCCATATCTTTACAAAATAAGGGTTTTGTAGCATTTTGTTTGGACTAAAAGCTAGAAATATATCTTAGTTTTTTAAAAATAGAGAAGTATAAACAGTAAAATTAGTTTACATGATAATACCTTTCAGGAATATGTTTTGGAATCTCTATGTCAAGTGACTTCATATGTAAGAGTTTGATCCCTGCTTCCATCTTGTTTGCTGCCACGACATCACAGGCAAGTTCATACATGGTCTTGGATAACTCACAAGCATACACGGAATGTGCTCCAGCTTTTTTAGCAAACATGCTACAAGGGGAAAAAGTGCTCCATCAAGAAAAGACAATCTACTATATTTTCTCAAATTTTAAGGAAATGATGATGCTAAAATGTGGGGTTTTTCCTTTTATTCTTTAACACAATCATTACTCATTCTGCATTAAAAAATAAACTAATATTCTTGTCTAGAAACAAATCATACAATAAAACATGGGATCTACTCTATTAAGACACAACTGGCATTATATCTTTAATGAATACTAACGGGCTTTAACTTAGACAACTAGATTCCACCAGAATGTTAACATAAAAAAGACTCTTAAATTCATTATTCAAAATGTCAATAATCCCAAATTTTTCTTAGCAGTTATGTCCAGTTCTTGATAAAAGTTATAGTAAAAAACATAATAGTTACATAAATAACCCTAATAAGATTATAATACTTTTAAATTCCAATGTTAAATTTTCTATATCTGCCAAAATCTTTAATTTACATTAGAATACATGTATATATCATCAAAATGCAATTACTACCAACCTTAGTATTCCAGTTCCCGCTCCAATGTCCAAAACACTTCTGGACCCCAAACAAACTGCCTTCTGGATTGCTGCATTATAAATCGTATTCCTCTTGGTGTCATTAAGCATGATAAAGTGCCAGCGTTCCACCAACCAGTTTGCAACACGATAAAAATTCTCCTTTGCATCACTGAAATCAGGGTTTAGCTTCACTGCTTTATGAAAATACCCAGCTGCTTCATCCCTAAAGCCCATTCTAGAGTAAAAAATGACAAAGACAAAATATATTCAACTATATGCTATCATACTGCAGTACCTTTGTTTATGCCAATCACCTGGCCTGGGAATCCCATGCCAGCACCCCAAATCCTGCCAATCCAAGTGCTACCTCTTTTGGGAAGTTGTCTGTGAGGAATGCAAGCCTCAGTATTTCTTTATTTTCTGAACCACTACATTTACATATTTCAGGAGACAAAAAAGTACCTGACTACGAATTACTATTATACTAATGTATAGCAGATGTCACAGTCATCCTCCATTTAGCCAACTCCATTCCCTCTGTACAACACACTAATGCCTATGGCTTAGTAGGCTCCTCTCTGGGGGGGCCTGCATGCCTTTTCTCTCAGCAACTGAGTTGAATAGTCATCAAGAGTCAGTTGTATTTGCTGCCAGATCAGTTTATGTCAGTTGTACTTGCTATTATAATTACATATTTTAATTAAATATTATACTAAGTAAATAAATATGACCGCATAAAGGGAACCATTGTGCCTAAGGACACTAAGCTAAATAAATGCTCTTGGCCGGGCGCGGTGGCTCAACCCTGTAATCCCTGCACTTTGGGAGGCCGAGACGGGCGGATCACGAGGTCAGGAGATCGAGACCATCCTGGCTAACATGGTGAAACCCCGTCTCCACTAAAAAAATACAAAAAACTAGCCGGGCGCGGTGGCGGGCGCCTGTAGTTCCGGCTACTCGGGAGGCTGAGGCAGGAGAATGGCGTAAACCCGGGAGGCGGAGCTTGCAGTGAGCTGAGATCCGGCCACTGCACTCCAGCCTGGGCGACAGAGCGAGACTCCGTCTCAAAAAAAAAAAAAAAAAAAAAAAAAATAAATGCTCTGAAAGAAAATCAAAGGCAAGTCACTCAAAATTAAGTACTATTTAATTATAGGTGAGCAAATGAAAAACAAAACACAGGAGAAAAAAACCTATCCAACCCTCTAGAACAGTGCTTCTCAAACTATCTGTAATGAAAAACCTCTCCTCCCTTTTTTCTTAATTTTTTATTTTTAAGACTAGTCAAGTGCAATACTGAGAAGGAGGGAATCCTCCCTTTCTTAAACATCTAATTGTTTGCAGATCGATACAGCTGTATTGCACATGATTCATATGGAGTTGACACATCAGATTTCAGCAGCACCCAAACTGATCTATATACTCTCTTCTGCATTAGTTTCCTGACCATATGCTTGGATTTACAGCAATGTTAAATTGCTATATCCATTTCCAAATACTTACTCTCAATTTCTATACTTACCTGTCATTAACCACTAATCTGTGGGTGAGCACCAATGTGTGGACCACACATTGAACAGAACTGAGCTAGTAGAGCCCTTTTCATTCATAGTTCTTCGTAAGTACCTTTAAGCATTCTGTCAAGTTTAGATAAACTTTTTTTTTCCTTTTTTTGAGACAGAGTTTCGCTCTTGTTGCCCAGGCTGGAGTGCAGTGGTGCAATATTGGCTCACTACAACCTCCGCCTCCTGGGTTCAAGCAATTCTCTTGCCTCAGCCTCCTGAGTAGCTGGGATTACAGGAATGCACAACCACGCCCAGTTAATTTTGTATTTTTAGTAGAGAAGGGGTTTCTCCATGTTGGTCAGGCTGGTCACAAACTCCCAACCTCAGGTGATTCGCCCGCCTCAGGCTCCCAAAGTGCTGAGATTACAGGCATGAGCCACTGCACCTGGCTAGAGAAACTTAATCATACTATTCATTCTAGGTATGGTTTAAGCAAAAAAGACATTCTAGAAGTCCAAACAGGGAACTGCACTCTAACAAAAAGCAATGGTTCTATGTCAAATAAGAGGCACTCATGATTTAGGTGAAAATGTATATGTTTTCAGTTAACGTATGTTATTTTAAGTTATCTTGAAGGTAGAACTATCTTGATCTTATTTGCAACTACCATTGTACATAGTACAGTACCATGTACATTGTAGGTAATCATTATTTGTTGTGAGACTAACTCAGCAATGGGTATTAAACACACCCCTAATAATTTCCTGGGTTTGTACTTCCCTTATGTTTGATATTTAATACATCACCAGTTTCCTTAAGCTGAAATTCTAATCTAAAAAATATATAATCTACTCCATTAAAGCATCTCTCATTGAAAGACCCAACATGTGTGTCCATAATATCAGAGAAGTATAAGAACGCCAGGAGGGGGCGCCCAAGATGGCCGAATAGAACAGCTCCAGCCTCCAGCTCTCAGCATGAGCAACACAGAAGATAGGTGATTTCTGTATTTTCAACTGAGCTTTGAAGAGAGCAGTGGTTCTCCCAGCACGGAGGTTGAGATCTGAGAACGGACAGACTGCCTATTCAAGTGGGTCCCTGAACCCTGAGTAGCCTAACTGGGAGACATCCCCCACTAGGTGCAGACCGACACCTCACACCTCACACAGTTGGGTACCGCTCTGAGACGAAGCTTCCAGAGCAAGAATCAGACAGCAACACTTGCTGTTCAGCAATATTCTATCTTCTGCAGCCTCCGCTGCTGATACCCAGGC